GAGGTAATCAGGGAACAGGTGAGACAAGACGGGTGCAGGAAGTAAAGCTGAAACATAAACAACTGGTGAAGTGGCTTCAAAATAAAACAGGAAAGACAAGACATAAAACGCACAACAGAAACTTGACAGACATGACAATGCTGTCTTGTCCTCTTCTTTTCTATTGGCTTGAGTCAGTGCCATGTTATTTTTCTATTATGGTTCATTTTTGTTTTCTGTCACTGTTTCTGTTGTTTTCAGTTTGCTTTTGCTGGCGTTACACAATCACTTTGTTACATCTTGGAAAAGATTACGGTTTAGGTAACCTGTGCAGACGCCTTTCTGTTGCTGTTTTTTTTTTTCTTTTTTTGTTGCTGTTTTCTGTCATTTTTGGCCACTGTTTGGTAAAAATGCACCAACACCCTTCATTATTTGCTTTTGTTTATGGTACAAAACAAACCTATTGGTTAAGTTCAAGTAACAAATCTACTTGGCAAGACTTAGAAGATTCATAGTTTGGCTTAAGATACTGGTTGTTTTCTATTCTGGCTCGTGTAAGTCCTAATTTTACAGCCCTGCTTGGGAAAAAAAGAAAAAAATGTTTTGCATTGTGGACAAATTAACAATTGTGCTTTTTTGTGAGACTGTGCTGGCAAACAAAATGGCTGCTGCTTGTCCTTTTATTGAAATAAACAAGTATCAAATATAGCGCAACATGGTAATTCTTGATCAATGTGAAATACTAAAAGAACAAGATCATCTTGCAAATAAATAAGCCAAGAATATCACTAGAAATAGCTTGTTACAAGGTGCCCAGCTTAATGTGCTTTATGTGAAAGATTTGAAAAATGACTCTTTACTTCACCCATCAGAGAAATCATTTGCAGTGTTGAATCATCTCCTTCAGAGGTGGATGAATGATGGAATGATTGGATGGAACCTTTGGCTCATCGTAATTACCTCCTTCATACTGCCTCACCTGCTCCCCTCTGTCACCTCTTGTACTCTCCCTCCCATCACACTCCCCACACTGCCCTACTCTCTTCCCCCATCACCTCTCTCACACCACCTCACCTACTTTCTCTCAACACCTTCTTCTCCATCCCATCCCATCTCCAACACCCCTCCCTCCCCATCACCTCCTTCACTCCCCCTCACCCCCTTTCCCCATCACCTTCTTTAACACAGTTCACCCCCTCATACACACAAACTCAGAGCAGTGGGGGTTGATTCCTGCCTCACCTCCTGGACTACGGATTATCCCACAGGCCGACCACAGTTCGTCAGGCTGGGGAACTGTGTCTCTGGGACAGTGGTGAGCAAGACTGAGGCTCCTCAAGGGATTGTTCGGACTCCATGACTATTCACACTGTACACAGTGGACGTAAAATACAGATCTGAGTACTGCCACATGCAGAAATACTGTGATGATACATCTATTGTGACGTGCAGGCAGGAAGAATGGGCAGGAAGGTGAGTCCAGGAACCTGATGAAGGCCTTCATGGACTGGACCACTAAGAACTACTTTCTGCTGAACATCACCAAGACCAAGGAGATGGTCATGGACTTCTGCAGGTCTAAGTCTGTCAGTATCAGAGGGAAAGACATTTAAGTGGTGCAAACCTGCAAATATCTGGGTTTGCACCTTGACAACAAACTGCTAACACAGATGCCCTGTACCGGAAGGGGCTGTTCTTCCTCAGGAGATCAAAATCTTTCCATGTATGCAGTGAATTGCTGCATAGTCAGTCGTGGCCAGTGTTCTTTTCTACACTGTGGTCTGTTGGGGCAGCAGTCTGGCTGAGAGGATTACCAGGCGACTGGATACGCTGGTGAAGATTCCTGGTTCTGTGTCCGGCAGGAGTTTGGGAGTTTGAGCGACGTATACAGAGTACAGTGCAGTCCTTCTTGAACAATGCCAGCCACCTTCCTCACAGCATCCTATTTTGATACCAGGAGTGAGGTCAGTTTGTTGCTGATTTAAGCTGTAGCACTCAAAGCAAAATGTGACCTGTGTAAAAACTATTAAGAACATTAATAGCTCAGTAGCTAAAAACAACAAGTTATCACACAAGATAGACTTTCATGGTCTTTTAATAGTCATTTAAGCAGGCAGGAACATCACTGCTGAGCTGATGAAGCTTTCAGTCACCACTGAAGGGAACATCGCCTCTAATAGCAGCTCATTTGTGTCCCAGTACACTAACAAAGAGGCGTCATAAAGCCTTGGAATCAACAGATGATGTCAGCTTGAAGTCATTATTCTCATCAATTACGACATTGGCATCTTAATTTCCATCCATCCATTATCTATACACCGCTTAATCCTCACTAGGGTTCATGGGGGGCTGGAGTCTATCCCAGCTGACTCAGGGCGAAGGCAGGGGACACCCTGGACAGGTCACCAGTCTATCACAGGGCTACACTTAGAGACAGACAACCAAGCACACTCACATTCACACCTACGGACAATTTAGAATCACCAGTTAACGTCAACATGTTTATGGACTGTGGGAGGAAGCCGGAGAACCCAGAGAGAAGTTGCACGTGGAGAACACACAAACTCCACACAGAAAGATCCTGGGTATACCTTACCAGGACGCGAACCGGTGACCTTCTTGCTGCGAGGCAACAGTGCTAACCACCGAGCCACCTTGCAGCCCCGCATCTTAATTTAACAGATACTATTTGCAACACTAAAAATGTCTTAACAAGCGTTCCATTTGAAATGCACAAACTGCGGTGCGGGGAACTCAACAGGCTTGTGTGTCTGGTTACATTGCGTGATGTCTCCTTCATAAATCGCTGTAGCTGTAGTATTCCTCTGTGTGATATATGCGCACACTATGTACAGTGTGCACGTGCTGGCTCTTGTCATCTGACCTTTGCCCACAATATTCATCAATCTTTTCCTGTGAATCCCCTGAGCATGTGCCTGATAGATGTATTAGGAAGATCTTAATAGAGATACTGCATTCAAAGACGGTGTACCATGAAACTTTCTCACTGAGCCCAGAGAGCATTTGGACTAAATTCATTCTCCAGACTGGCTGACTGTTGCTGTTGGCTTCCCACACACACAAATAGGTAATCTAATCATAATACACTTTTGGACCTAATGGAGTCATACAATTGTTGATGGTCAAAAAGAACATGTTTTTAAAAAGAGCATGGATGAGTGTGCTCTTCCCATCAGCTTACTGTGCATAATATTTGAATCAAATGCAGGAATGGTGGACTCCATTATGGCATAAAAAAAAAAAATACTGAAACTCAAATACATTTATTAGCTTCATGATAAAAATGTCAGTTATAAACAATGTCAAAGTTTGGGTTTGATAGGATAAAAAATGTCAGTTGAAACATTTTCAATTCAATTTGTACCATCCAGCATTTTTCCACATCTTTTCCTATTTTCTCTGCTCACTCTGAACCCTAAACAGCAAAACTCTCAACTATATATTATATGTGTGTTATTATAGGCTGCAAGGTGGATGCACCATGGTTAGCACCGTCGCCTCGCAGCAAGAAGGTCGCTGGTTCGCGTCCCGGTTAGGACGCCCAGGATCTTTCTGCGTGGAGTTTTGTTCCTCCCACAGTTCAAAAACACGTTGAGGTTAATTGGTGATTCTAAATTGTCTGTAGGTGTGACTGTGAGTGTGCTTGGTTGTCTGTCTCTAAGTGTAGCCCTGTGACAGACTGGCGACCTGTCCAGGGTGTCTCCTGCCTTCACCCTGAGTCAGCTGGGATAGACTCCAGCCCCCCATGACCTCAGTGAGGATCAAGTGGTGTATAGACAATGGATGAATGGGTAAAAATGTTTTTGGACCAGTGTGCTCTTCCCATCAGCTTAATTTGCATAATATCTGAATCAAATGCAGGAGTGGTGAACTCTTCGACTGACATTAAAAAAACAAAAAAACCCAACTGAAACTCCAATACATTTATTGGCTTCATGATAAAAAACAAACAAACTAAAAAAATTGCCAATTATAAACAATATCAAAGTCTGAATTTGATAGAATAAATATGTCAGTTGAAACATTTTCAGTTCAATTTGCAACATCCAGCATTTATTCTCAACTATTCCTATTTTCTCTACTCACTCCGAACCCAAACCTAAACAGCAAAACTCTCTTCCGTTTTTAATTATATATCATACATATGTTTGATTAATATTATTTAAATGTCTTTGCTCACACGTTCTTCATTTAAAGTGACTCAGAAAAGGAAGCGCTGAGGCAGGAAAGTCCCCCCACTAAGCATGCGCTTCTATTAATGTGTTGTCATTTTGCAGCCTGTGGCGGTTAACAGAAGGCCAAAGACGTTGTTTGGTTTGGATCGGCCCCCTGCAGCAGATGATGTTTGATGACGGTGCTTAGGAGAAATTGCCGCAGTGGTGGGTGACATTGACCCTGGCACTATTCATTTAAAATAATGGACAGTGGATAGCCCACATTGGAACAAATGGGCATTGTTGGCTGTCTTTTTAGCTATTGATTTATTTACTGCACGTGTGTGTGTGTGTGAGTGTGTGTGTGTGTTTGTTTGTGTCACCGGGGTTGTTCTGTCAGTGTGTAATGTGTCTCAAGTCCCAGTGTTGCATATCAGTTTGTGGCACACGCCCCCATCGCATGGAAATAGATGGCACAGGGGTTAGAGAGAGAGAGAGAGAGAGAGAGAGAGAGAGAGAGAGAGAGCAGAACACATTTCCTGCATACCTCTCTGTTGCCCGTTCTCTCCGTCTTCTCCCTCCCACTTCAGGCTTCCGAGCGAGAGAGCCTCACCAGTAGCGCTCTCCTCTCTCTCTCTCTCTCTTGCTTCCTTCTCTACCTCTGCCACTCTCTCTCTCTCTCTCTCTCTCTCTCTCATTACTCTCTCTCAGTCAGAGGGGATTCTCCGTAACAGCTGTAGCTTAATGTGATCCTCACTTCTCATCATCATTTCATTGATGTTCTTTCTTTCTTTTTTTCTCTTCAGTATTTTCTCTTTTTGAATTGACATCTCAGCTGCCGGAGTCACAGCTGACATCCACTGTTTGGATGCTACAAACGTGCACAAAGCTCAGAGGGAACGGAAGAGAACTTTTAAGGCTGCTATCAGTGCACCTTTCTCCTGGATTGGTTTATTTGCTGTTGAGAGACCAGTCAACAATGGAGGGCTTTTTGTTGTAGCCGATTTAGGTTATTTTTTCCTCACTTAAAGCTGGATGTATATAGATTTTTTTTTTTTCTTTTGTTACACGTGCTTGTTTCACCTCTAACGCACTCTGTAGAATCTGTAGGGACTTTATGGAGTGTGAAATTTTGGCAGTAAGTGTGAAGTTTGGAGGAGCAAAGTGAGACAAAGCATGGCTGATGGAACCACAGCTGAGTGTTGAACCCTTCTGTCCAGGAAGGCAGCCCAGGTAAGAGCATGTGTGACCCAGACAGAGTTGTAATTGTCCATAAAGGTATATTTGCATGCATGCGCTGTTGGGCTTATCGAAGCACACCAGACAGGTCTGTTAGTGAGGGCTGAAGTGCAATACTAACCCAGTCTGACTTCATCTCTGCCCCTGGTGTTTTTTAAAAAACTGCCTAAACCTGAGAGAAGAAACCTTCTCTCTTCTGTTTGACTCCTGACAGCTGCGCATTAGTCTGAACAAAGAGACACCACTGTGACAGAGTGAAAAGTTCCCTGAACAGTTGCAGCAGCTCTGATAAATTAGGCTCTATTTCACTCGTGGGGAATGAGCAGCGTAGATCTGGGAAGCACAGTGTATTGATTTGGGGATGTTCATGTGATTCTCTTGCTTAAGTTGCGAAGCAGTCAGCTGAGTCAATATTGATGTGTCATCGTGTTTAGGCAGGCGTAAGACGCGCTGTAAACATGACACCTAACTAACACCTGAATGTACGGCTGATTGAATCAGTCTTGTAGTGAGGTCAGCGAGTGATGTACACTCGGGGTAACGTACATAAGGCGAGGCACTCTGGAAGTCCTTCAGGGAACAATCAACAAGGCTACATGCTGCATGAATAATGATATGAATCTGATTCATCACACGCAGTCCTTCATTCTTCAGAGAATTCAGAGAATAGCAGCTCTCAAACATACAAGATGCATTTCGTCATCAGGGCTCAGAAATTCTGTTAGATAGGACAACACCTGATAAGTAAAGCTGTGATTTCTGCTAGAAATATTAAGATTCACTCATGTTTTAGGCATTAAGCAATCAGAATGCAAGCTTCAAAATATTACTTTTGTTTTGTGGTCATTGTGTTTGCTAAATACTTCAAAAACCTGCCACTTTAATCAGACATTGCAATTCAATTTTCTAAACTTGCCCAACATCATCTCGTTTCATGACCAATTCGGGAAAACTTGCGTAACCTAACAAGAACTGTGCTTTATATTGCTCAAAATAAAAGTTCATTGAATTGGCATGAACTTGAAGCTCTTTGGAGCTTGAGCACAATGAGAGATTTTTCGTGTGAGTTGGTTATGTTTAGGTCTGCCTGTGCAGATATGCAAGCAGTCAGCAGTACTGAATGAAAAATGCAGATTTTGCAAATGATGAGTAGAGATGGAGCCTGAAAAGAAGCTTTGCATAGAAAGTATGCTCATTAAGTCGTCTTCTAATACCTACTACTGTCACAAATGGGGAATATGAACGATAGAAAGCAGGCCAGTATAGTTTCTCTGGCTATAAAAGATCTGCTTCAGTGATATAGTTGTCCCAAAATCAGTCTATGTTAGAAGACAAGAGGTGAATATATCATTTTTGTAATCACATACCTTTCTGTTCCTATCCATCCAGACATGACGACAGTGTCCATGGAGCCTGTAGCAGTCTTGGTGGAAAGGGGCCCCAATGCCACCGATCCCCCTCTGAGCTCGCATGAGGACACGGCCGCCACCTTCACCATCGGCACCATCCTCTCCATCATGTGCCTCATCGGAGTCTCAGGGAACATCTACACCCTGGTGGTCATGTGCCAGTCCATGAGGACGGCAGCCTCGATGTACATCTACATCATAAACTTAGCGTTGGCAGATCTGCTGTACCTTCTCACCATCCCCTTTGTGGTCTGCACACATTTCCTAAAGGGATGGTACTTTGGGGACGCAGGGTGTCGGATTCTGATCAGCATGGACTTCCTGACTATGCATGCCAGCATCTTCACGCTGACAATCATGAGCACGGAGCGCTACTTTGCTGTCCTCAAGCCGCTCGACACGGTCAAGCGGTCGAAAAGTTACCGAAAGGCCATCGCTCTGCTGGTCTGGGCAGCTTCTCTAATCCTCACCCTACCGATGATTGTGAGCATCCAGCTAATGACAGTGGGCACTAAGGCTATGTGTCAGCCCACCTTGTCACCTCTCTCCTACAAGGTTTACATCTCCTTCCTGTTTTGCACTAGCATTGTCGCTCCAGGACTGATCATCGGCTATCTCTACATCCAGCTCGCACGGACTTATTGGATTTCACAGACGGAGACCTTCAAGCAGACCAAGAAACTACCTAATCAAAAGGTCAGTGAATCACAGTATAATGTATTTCATGGGTGGTGATTCTATTTCACACCAGCTCAGTTTCTCATGGGACTTTATGTGTTTTTTCCGTCATTATCAAAGATTTGTGCATTGAATATTTACATGTGTGTGCTCGACCGTTTATGACAACCCTGTTTCAAAAGTTCTCAGGACATCATTTGTCATTGCCTTTCACCACTGTTAGAAAATAACACAGAAAAAATAAAACTGTTGTCTGATCAGACACTTCTACGGTTCAAGAGGTGCAGTTGAATCATTTGTGGTCATGGTGAACAGAAAAACACTGACTGCAAGAGTTCAACTGTATTGACCCATTCAACTACCCCAACCTCCTCCCTTGGCGAACCATGTACCTCTGTTATATTGTCTGATTATGGTGGAAGATTTATTTTGAGACTTAATTTAGCAAAACTACAAATACCATCCATCCATTTTCTTCCGCGTTTTGGGGTGGGGTAGCGGGGGCAGTAGACGGAGCAGGTCATTCCAGACTTCCCTCCCCAGGAAGACAGAATCCCTCCAGCGGGTTCTGGGTCTGCCCCGGGGTCTCCTCCCAGATGAACATATTCAGAAGACCTCCAGAGGAAGCCTCTCCGGAGGCATCCGAATCAGGTGGCCACACCACCTCAACTGACTCCTTTCGACGCTCCTTTCTACTCCGAGTTCCCTCCGGATGTCCGAGCTCCTCACCCTATCTCTAAGGCTTAGCCCAGCACCCTGTGGAGGAACCTCATTTTGGCCGCTTGTATCCGCGATCCCGTTCTTTCGGTCACGACCCAAAGCTCGTGACCATAGGTGAGGGTTGGAACTTAGACGGACTGGTTTGCCTTGCGGCTCAGCTCTCTCTTCACCACAGCGGTGCTGACGCCGCACCGAGCCGCCTGTCCACCTTACGCTTAATTTTCCCATCACTCATGAACAAGATCCCAAGATACTTAAACTCCCTTGCTTGAGAAAGCAACTCCGCACCCACCTGGAGGTGGCAATCCACCGGTTCCAGCAGAGGACCATGGCCTTGGACTTGGAGGTACTGATCTGCACCCCTGCTGCTTCGCACTCGGCTGCAAACCCTTCCAGTGCGTGCTGAAGGTCATGGTCTAACGAGGCCAGCAGTACCATGTCGCCTGCATAAAGCAGAGACGCAATCCTGAGGTCCCCAAAGCGGACACCCTCCTCACCCCGACTGCGCCTTGAGATCCTGTCCATGAAGACCACAAACAGGATCAGGGACAAGGGGCAGCCCTGGCGGAGTTCAACACCCATTGGGAACGTGTCCAACTTATGTTTTTATTTGATTTTTTTTACAGTGTGGTATTAGTAGTCCAATAAGTCAGACTACTAAAACCAGACTGTTAAAAAAAACAAAAAACACTCCATTACAAGTGAAATCTATGTAAGTGTAAACAGGAAACTGTACATAACGTAGTTAAAGCACTTACTGAAGAAAATTGTCTGCTGTGACTGTTACACTATTACATCAGACGATTATTATTTCCCATGCGTTCATTTAAAAGTAATATATAGTTGCAGTTGAAGGAGATGGAGCATAGCTAATATATATTGTCTAATTATGTTCATCATAGACTCTGCTGCTGATTATTTTTTTTCAATTATTGAATAGTTTAATTTGACAACCTTGAAAATAATGAAAAGTGCCCCTCAGGATTACTCAGAGCACAAAATGACATTATCACAATGATTATGTCATCCAAACTTCTGAATTGCTGAAGTTATTAAAAAGAAAAGCAGCAAATCCCTACATTTAAAAAGCTGGAAACTTGAAATGCCATGAAAAAAAACTCAAACTGTTGATGACCAGAAGCAAAATCTGTACTTCTTTAAACAACGTAACTTATAAGAACGCATTACTCAGTGTCATAGAAGCTTTTCGTGTGTTTCAATGCAGTCTCTCCGAGCACGTCTGGGGCCCAATTCTTGACTCTCTTTTTTTGGCTACTTCACCCCAGGCCATGTCTCCTACTTCTTACAAAGTCTGTACCTCAGCTGGAGATACATCCAGACTCATTTATCAGGTCCAACCTGATGAATGACCTGGAAGCCAAGCACAACGGTGGTGTGTACAAACCTCCACATATATTCCCCCGACAATACTGCTGATCAAGCCACGCTTCTCATGGAGCGTGTCCGAACTCCAGAGGGTGCGGTTCTATCCCATAATTGTTCATAATGTTCCTCCTTACAGTATGAGATGTGTTGTCTGGGCTTTGCCAACAACAGTGTCATCTTTGCCTGATAAAGAGTTGCTATTTAAGATTATGTGAGTGTAGCAGCATCACTTAAAGCATTCTGCTATCACTCTTCTCTGTGCCTGCTGCAGGTTTTTCTATTTCCCATTTCCCTTTTTCTCGCTGCTCATGCTGAGATCGAGTCCGTTCCAATTTGCTTCATAGCAGGGCTTAAGAAGGCTTCATTTTGTCTTATCAGTGTGATTAACAATGTGGTGAATGCCGCCCTTTCAGTTGTAGTACGGGCTGTTCATAGGATTTTTGAGAAAATGTGTTTTAACAGTCTCTTTTTCACTACTGGTGCTGTGTTTAACTGGGGATCCCTTACACTGGGGCAACAAAGGTGGGCTTTAATAGGTCACTCTTGGCTTTCATTGTACTCATCACTCCAGAGGGGTCATTCTGGGCCAGTTATCAGAAAGTGGAACAGGGTCAGAGAGCTTTAGATTTTCAAAGATCGAATGTGACTGTTTCTTACCATTAGTCTGGTGTGTTTGATTTGTTCTTTTTCCCCCTTTAACTTGTGGTAGCTATTGCTGACCGTAGTACAAACATGTAAAACAAGTCTCACTTCTGGGACTAGAGCTCAGAAGAGATCACATGACAGTATTTATGAGGATGTCTTATGACCTGACAGCACCACACATACTAAATAGTTTTGGTGCTAAGTTACATGCAGCATTACCTGCCTTACAACCGTCTTAGTTCCACCTCAGTTAGCTCACTGTGTGCTGCAGCAGTACATTAGCTTGATACCCCTATAGTCACAATTTCAACTGCATTTATAGAGGTTGATGTTTGTCAGACTGCTATGGAACAAAGTGGGTTTTTTTTTAGTCTTTCATCCCACATGTTGTATTGTAAAAGATGCCACATGTTTTGAACAAGCAAACACGTAAAGAGGTAAAAAGGAAAAAAAAAACATTGGACAGAGAAAACCTGCCACGGGTAGGGAGGTCTGGGGTGAACATTTACAATATATTTGCTTTACAAGCTCATTTCTAGTTCTTGCAGGTCTACTTGAAGCTGCCTGAAAGGTACTTCAAATATCCATTACAGAGTCAAACAACCTCACTTAAAACATATAAAAGGAAAGCTGGAATACAGACAAAACCAAGAAACCAGAAAAGGATGTAGGGAATCAGATCAGCCACATCAGACCAGAAAATCTTTATCCTCAAGCTATCAGAGTCCTTTAAATCCTGTTTTGCAGCGAAGTCACAACCAGGATCACTGAAACACCCGTGGACCACTCTGTGTCAGCTCAGTGTCAGATTTAAAAATACCCTAGGTGTGATTTTTCAAACCGACGGACACGTTTGTGTCGTCTGTCACAAAGCCAAACCTGTCTCCACAAAGTTATGTTTCTATACAACTAAACTGTAAACTCAAAAGTGAAAAGTGTTTTCCGTCAGATTATATTTTTTGCAACAAATCATAAATAGAATTCAAATCAACATATTTTTGCCATTTTTCTTTGTTAGTTTGTTTTATTGTCACTCCTTTTCATGGAAAATGAAGGAGAGGCTTCAAACATGTAGCGAAAAGGTCATATTTAACCCAAACTTTGAAATTTTTCCTAAACTTAACCAAGTAGTTCTGATGCCTAAAAGTTAAGCTTCCAACTGTATTTAGCTTTGTGTCAACAAAAGTATTATATTTTCTTGAAGATAAACTACATGGTTTTGGTGAATAAATGTAGCCAAACAGGGAGAGAACATCAAAAGTGAACGAGTGTCAATGAAACTGTGTAAAGTCTTGGAATAAGGCTTCTATGACCTTACAAAGACTTTGACTTACAGGGAAACGCTTCAAGTTTAAAGGACCAACCAACACAGTCTTATCATTCGGGTGGGGGAAATACCCTTCTTTTAATATGCAAATGCAGTCAGGTTGTGGAGATAGTAAAGTGTGGAGACAGAGTTGCACAAAACCCAAAATATCTGAAATTGACATCTTCATTTTTCTCTTCTACATCACCTTTGAAAGACTGTGGGCTACACCACCTTACAGCTACTAACATGCAACTGCCATACTTTCGTTTATCTGCACAATCACATGCACCAGACACCCACCCTGATGATGTAGTAGCTTTTGACTTCCGCTGTAGAAGAAATGAAATGGAATCATTGCTCAAATATTGATTTTAGGAGTCTACAGAAGAAAAACGACTGGTCATAACACTAAACCAAAGTTTTTCTAAACTGTGTTCATGTGAAGTTTGGGGATCTAACAGATAACACTGAGCTCATCTGACGTGAACGTTGCACCATCACTTGTGTGACCAAGTAAAATGTGAGTCTCATTAACAGCACCCCTCTCTGGTCTTACAACCCTGTAGGTGCTGTATCTGATCTTCACCATCGTGCTCCTCTTCTGGGCCTGCTTCCTGCCCTTCTGGATCTGGCAGCTGCTGAATCAGTTCCACCCGTCGCTGCCTCTGTCCACAAAAGCCAAACGCAACATCAACTACCTGACCACATGCCTGACATACTCCAACAGCTGCATCAACCCATTCCTCTACACGCTGCTCACCAAGAACTACAAGGAGTACCTGAGGAAGCACAAGCGGTCGTGGACGGCCGCCAACTACTTCAACCGGCGGAGTCGTTTTCAGCGCTCACCACGCAGGTCGCCGTCTGCCAGCAGTCAGCAGTGTACTGAGAGCTTCATGCTCACTCACACAGCCTCGTTGAGAGCTCATAACAGCAGTTTGTGAGGTAGGAGCAGCTTTCGTTCGCTAACATATGTGATTTGTTAGCTGTTGTGGAAACCAAAAGAAAGACTTTGCCTAAACACACCTAAGGGCTGCAGTTGTTTCCAGCAGTTTTGCAAGTAACAATCAGGCCTCAACAGCCTGAGAGGCAGAGGAGGCTTTAGACATGAAGGCTTTGTTGGAGGTTTTCTATCACAGGAAAGCCTAGTTTTGATGGGTTGTGTGATTGCAGATGGTATTTATTCCTGGCCCTCTGAAAACTTGTCTGTTTAGGATTCCTACTTCCTGGTATGCAATGTAAACATGTCCATATGGGACAACTGGTGCCTCTTGATGTTTATGTGTGGAAGTGGGTGAGCTGGGTGAGACGTGTTCAGCAACAATAAATATTCTCCCGCCTGGGAAATTCAGAAGATTCAAGGCAGGAACATGATTAGACTTAAGCCAGCGGGTGTCCAGCGAAGTATATGGAGAAAAAAAAAAAAAAACGGTTGGCCGGTTAAAAAAAAAAAAAACACATTCATCTAACTGGAATCCGTCATTAGTCCAACAGATTAGTGCAACCCGGAATTATACTGTTGATATATGACTACATATCACACTATCTGACTTCATCTATGTGAAAAGGTCCATTTACTCACATTTTTTTAATATCATAATTAAGATTTGAAATTGACTCAGCTGTAGCATTAATTAGATGTTTGCTTGTTGTCTGGTTATGCTTCCTGCACATTTATATTTACAACTGATACAATATTATTTTATTAAAGAGGAAAAAACTGTCTGTATATTTTACTATTTGAAACATAAGTAATGCACATGTGTGCAGTGGCAGATCCTTGTCTGCAAACGCTCTTAATGGTGCAGTCAGTAACTCTTTTCCAGTAGGAGTGAATATCACCTATATTGCTCCCATTAGCTGTTCTGTTCTGAGAAAAGGTGTTTGTACACTCTCCTGGCTCTGTAAGTGGGAGACAAAGTGACTCAGAATGACCCGCACAAAACTACCACAGCATGTCTTGTGAACATTTGTGCTAAAGGTCAACAATCTTTCTCCAGAATCACAGACTGCACCTTTAATTGGGACCTGAGTTGGGAAACTGTATCTGAGATGTTATAATGGAAAGTCTCACCACTTCAAAAATCCTGACTAGAAACCTGTGGGAGAATTCAGTAACCCAGTGGCTACAATAAACAAGCAACACATGCTGACCACTTGTGGAGTGGCTGCTTCAACACTAGGCTTACATTACAATCAGTGAAACTGGTTCCACTAGCTGCACATCTCTGCAGCGTATGTGCTGCAGAAATCTGTACTGCAAATGAAAAAAATAGACAACTCTTAATTTTGTTTATTTATGCAAAGCATGCACATCCCTTTTACACCAAAATGAGTTACTAAGTGTATTGTTTTTTAAGTTAAACTACAGGTATACAAGCAAAAAGTACTTTTCCACTTCTCCCATCTGCATTTGTTTTACCAGTTACACAGTTTACTGTAGCCTGTAGATGTTAACATGCTCATATTACACAAACTCTGTGAATAACTTGAAGTTTTGTGCTGGCTCAAAAGACCGAAGACACAACAATCCCAAAAGCTCACTGTCTTGTTTTGCCACAACCTAATGCTGCACATGTGCTGCAGGTGTCGACACTAGAAAGGTCCACATATGTTAAGTGCTTGGTTTAGCCACATTCTAACGCCAAAGAAGCTGTTGTATGACACATGTACCTCTCCTGCCCAGGTAGAGTCAACTGTCTGCTTTATATAGTCAATCTTGGGAAACTTCCAGCTAATCACATTGTTGCACTGATGTGACGTCATGACACTGTACGCATGCATAGTAGAAATTTTTTAACATAGTTTTCACCACAATGTAGCAGTTTTGCCAGACTGGATTGGTGATTCCATACATGCAGTTTACATGCCCCATTAAAATTACACTTCTGGTTCTCTCCACATTCATTTAGGTGCCAGCATGATCTTGGTGGTGTGAAGTAACCGTTTTGGAGTCTTACAAAGATGGCCACCAATGTGGCAGATTCTCCTATAAGGACTGTGGCAGCGTCCTTTCAATTTTTAAAGTTCATGTTAATGTTAGCTTACACATCTACGCTGCAATGCTGTCAACAGCGGCCATTGTCTGTCCTGAAATAAACAGTTTCAGATGTGTTTTATCCTTTACAAATGTGAAACTAGTCAGTTTGTTAACTGGTGTGACATGAATGTGGTAAACATTGTTCACTACTACATCTAAGTATATATATATAGTTGACTTGCAGCTGGAAACGCATGGAAGTGCAGGTGAAAGCAAGCAAACATGGTTGTCTCACATCAGCTAATGTCTATGGTTAAAGGCAATATGCTGAAACTGGATAGATAAAGTGCTATGATGAACAAGCATGGTATTTTTAAACCTCAACCATAAACCATCCGTCAAAAACGTTGATACGTTCTGTTCAAATTACACTCTTAATGTAGTGGCCATTAATAACAGCGTTGCCAACTCTCGTGCTTTCTCTTTTTTTGCCCACTTTCAGGCTCTGTCTCACTCTGCCCAAGCATATAAGAGGACGCCTTAAAGCCTGTGCTTTATGAAACGTTTTGCATAGGTTAAACAGACTTTTTTCTGCACGGAGGAACATAAACGTTACGACCCAGCTCGCTAGAGGAAAGGAAAGTGCCATAAAAACAACCAGATGGATAGGCTTGTACCAAAGTGGAAAATATTTTAATGAGTAGGATTTTTTGATTAACAGAAAAATGGCATAGGTCTCAAAAAGGGGCCAGGAGGGTGATAGATGCTACTGAAATCAAAGAAATAAGTAAATACACAAGGACAACATCTGGTCTAACAAATTAAAGAGCCTAAAATGTAATCCTACGCTGACTTACCTACTTTTTTTTACAAACATTACAACATGGTGTGGAAGCCACAGTGTGGTGGAAAAAGTGTATTTAGCAGTTAACAGGAATTTACAAGCTGGCCCAGCCTCCATTGACCACCAAGCGCCACATAGACAGAACAAGATCAGTTACAGAACAACAAGCGGTTAATGCATTCTGGCACAGCAGGAAACTACCTAAATACCAAGCCACATGTAACCCAAACCATACAAATGAAACAAAGAGGCGAGCTGGTTATTCTACATCAACAGCCGCCCTGACTGACAGTTTGGCAGAGCTTTCAAGTCGGTGCCGTGAGACCACAGACTGTATATAAAAGACGGACGTAGCCACCATGACATCACCCAGTGGTTTGTGGGCTTTTGTTCTGAAGCCTCAGGTTTGGAGTTTGGCCATCGCCGGCTGGTTAAACCGGACATGACAAGCAAAGGGTGGATCTTACAGGGAACCCTAAAACGTATCTGGTTTTATTGCGTCTTTTACTTGAAATGGAACCATAATTCACAAAATTATCGTCATGCTGTATTGAAGGAGACTTGAAAGTAGTGATTGAGATTATAAACTCTTTAGGAAAATATTTATTGAGGTGACAGATCAAGTGAGAAGAAGGTTATTCTTCTCATAGAATTCGATACAGTTACATTTCTTTTTGCAACCAGAGGAGTCGCCACCTGCTGGCTGTGAGAAAGAGTGCATTTTTAAGTCATTTTCACAATGGGCCCAAAGGATATGTCCATCCTTTATATACAGTCTATGAATCAGACAGGTGAAGCTTGATTGGAGCACAGGACTGCGGTATTGAGCCAATCAGTTCAGGAATAAAAGCAGAACAAAGAGTAACATTCAGAGTAACAGGCTGAGCAGGAAAGAAACGTCTGCTCCGATACCCATACTACTGAACTGCTCAGTATGGAGAAAGAGCTTCAGCATTTCCCAGTACATAGTATGTGAAATGCAGGTGGCCAAAAAAAAAAAAAGGATGTCCTCCTACAGTTGGTTTTATTTTGCAGTATGCTTTTCTGACCAATCTATCCTACATACGTTATGGTGTCTTGCATGAGTTCAAACAAGCCTGAGCTGCCAAGAGAGCACAGACAGATGACAGCTCATTTCGCAACGGATATATGAGCAGGACAGTGAAAACTTAAGCTACAATATTATGACAAAGTAGTTTGTCCCAACTGTATGCATGCAACAGTAAACGCTTTGTAAGGGGCCGCTGTAACATGAACTGAAAATACAAAGAAACTGTATTTGCAGGCATCAATTCAAGACAGGGGGTTTGCACACAATATTTTACATATACAGTCAGAATGGGATTAGTTACACCAAAAAGGGGAAAGGAGTGAAGCAACCCGGGGCCGAGCAATGAAGCTTTTTCTAGATTTAAGGCACCCACAGAAACAGACCTCTCCAAGATAACAAAACCCTTTTTTTCTAGATTTTGATGCATCTACTTATCACTTTGCTTTGGTTGTTCCCTCGGAGGACTGAAATACTTGCATCAGACAGGAGAAGGATTTATATGAGCATCTTTAACGCGACACAGCTGCTTGCACTAACAACAGCAGTAACTTTATTAATGACATCATTTCAAATTATCCCCGACAGGATCAGTCAGGTATCTAATGACAAGTCACACTGTGTACTTTTCTTCACATTAGACAGGTGAGCCGTCACACAACACAGTCACAGTTTATCAGCTGCAGTTAAAGCATTTCTTACATAATGGCTGTCCTCAGGTTGAGTCCTGAACTCCATCACAGCTGTCGGGATATTTTTTGTTTTACAGTAAGTAAAAGTCTGATCTGTCCACGAAAGTCAAATATATTGTTCTGTCATGTCAAGTCTTTAATTATGGAGAGTTTTTCCATTTCACAGCCTCACAGCAGGCTATTTGCAGCAGTGACATTACTGGCCTTGTGGATGAGTTCCCAGAACTATATATAGTACGTGACCTCGCTAATCCTAAAGTGGTGACCAAAATATAGCAACAGGTAGGCTTCTAAAAATAAAAGCACATTTTGTTGTACCATTAGTTGCTGATAAATTAGTGTTACACATAGACAAAATTGTCAGTGTTCTTTGTCAGTAGG